TTTTCTCAGTCCAATTTCGACAAATGAAGATAATTGCTCCATTTGGCAGAAAAATAGTAAAATATAGGTTCCGTGATTTTTGTTTTGTTTTCATAGTAATACATAAGAATTTACCGATCTTTTATCATGAAGCTGTAGCCCAACTGATGCTTCTTCATTGCTCAAAAGATGAGCCCATTTGTTTCAGGTATGAAGTCTCCAGAGTCTTGGCAAGTTCTCAATGGTCTTCGGTGAGCCATTTCCGTTCACAAAAGCGTTTGCTTCTGAAACTTTCAGGATACTATGACTAGCTTTGGTAGAACATTTTCTGAAAATTTCAGATTGATTTATCAAACTATTGCTGAGTTATTGACCACTCAATGGCACCCCACTGTCTTTTTGTGTACGCATGTTTTCAGTAAAAATGACCTAATTCATCAATAGCTTGATGAAATTCGATAAAATTTATATGAGAAGTAGCTGTAATGTAGAGCTTCAAAATGAGGTATTGAAGGACTCAAAAGACTCTTCTGTTCTTGAGTTATGAGATTCACAATGATCGTGAACGCCACTTGTTATAACTCCATTCTTGTCTGAGCGATTTTAGTTCTGAGGTTACCACTGATCTACATTATTTGTGTACTACCCATGTACACATTTTCAGACGTTTAGCTCTCATAGGACCTAAGATCCAAGGGGGCGGATACTTTTGGTCAGTAGTGTAACTTTAAAGATAAAACAGATGATTGACACAATAGATAGATACATACATATGAAAAAAAATAATAAATCGTTGTCTAACATTGAGTTTAGTAATCAAAATCAACAATAATATTGATTAATTTTATTTCGTAGATAAAATAGATATCTGATAATAATTTATTAATCATACAAAAAAAAATGATTTTCTATCATGTAAATAAAAACCTGATGATTAAGTTGTAAAACAAAAAAGGAAATATATTAATATTGAACTTGAAATGAAAATATCATGTCTGTTACATAGTGCTTCACTTCTCTTCGCTTCGGTCCAACTATTATACATATGTTCTTGTTCTTTTCTTTTTCTGTTCATCTGTTATATGTATGCTCTTTTTCGTCTTACTCATTTTTCCTAACTGACGTCTTTGTTGAGTAAGAAGAATCATTGTCTTTTTCTTTCCATTATTCATTTTCTAAACAGACGGACGAAGCTTCTTGACTGTTTCTCTAGTGCGTCTATTGTCTTTCTCCTATGTATATATACTTGCTGTTTTCTTCAATAAAGGGATCAGATATTCATTCATCCAAAAAGGGATATATATGTAACTGAGGGCCTGACCAACTTGTTGTGAAACCAATATCACAACAAGAGATACTGGATACAGATTCAATAAGAAACTGAATGTACATTGAATGCCAGAGACTAGCACAACTCGCAATTTGCAATATACATCTATTCACGATCATTTATTAAATAATAAAACCTGCATATATTTAACAATTGATCATACTTCGGAAAAAAGCATGCTCGATACTGAACATTTATCAACTACTTCTGCTAATATACTACACCACGATCAAAAAATTGTAACTAATAATGATGATCAACATTTATTAATTGAACCATCAAATGATTCAATACTTCCCATTGACAACAATCGACAAAAATTAGCACGAATACCATCGCGTGCTAATCAATATTCTTCAGCTCAAACAACAAGTGACGCATGTCAAGATATAATGAAAAATGCAATTAAATCATCAACAATACATAGTAAACAAGATATTGAGAGAAACTTTGTAACATTTTCAGGAAAAAAAAAGTGAAGATGCAGGAAAATGGCTAGATCATGTTTTTGAAGTTATTGAACAACAAGAATTAACACCAAGTGAATAACGTGATATAGCTGCAAGAAAATTAACTGATGCTGCTTTACTATGATATTGTCTTAAACGTCTAAAAATGCCTGATATGCAATGTTTTATTCAGCAATTTTTGCTTACTTATAATCCACCACAAGCAAAAACTTCCACTACTGATGCAACCATCACAGATGTTCATTATACATTAACGGAAGAGGCACTGGTGGGCAAAGACTCAGAAGAAATTTGTGATAATACATCGAAGTCGAACATTATGAAAAATTATCATTTGGAACCATCATGTCGATCAACATCATCCCTACAAGTCCTACAGTCAGCTAGGAATGCAAAGGTTAAACTTTTTCCAAACTTTTCTGGATCTGAAAACTCCTTAAATTGGTTAAAAAACTTACAACAAATTGGTAAATCACTTAAATTAGATGAACAACAAATATATGAATTGGCAACAATAAAATTGAGTGGTCCTGCTCAAGAATGGTTTTATCATCAAGATGATATTGATAATTGGTCGTCTTTCAAAGAGGCTTTCTTATACGCTTTTCCACCACCAATTCAACCAACCAACATTGACTACATAGCTCAATTACTAGGGTGTGGGTGTGTGGGGTGCGGGTATGGGTGTGAGTGTGGGTGAGTGTGGGGTGTGGGTGTGGGTGTGAGTGTGGGTGAGTGTGGGGTGTGGGTGTGGGGTGTGGGTGGATGTGGGTGTGGATGGATGTGGGTGTTGTTATGGGTAGGTGTGGGTGTGGGTGTGGACGTCTGAGACACAGATGATTGCAACTAACACCAACACCTACACCCACACCCACACCCCACACCCCACCCACACCCCCCACCCCCCCCCCCGCCAACCACCCCCCCCACCCCCCCCGCCGCCAACCGACCGCCACA